TGCGAGAAGTATTTAAAATGTGTGTATCTAAAAGCAATTTTACATATTTTATAAAATTTTATTGTTTATAAATAAAATCCACAAATAAATGCATAATAATTAATATTTCAGTTGTAAATACTAATAGTTTCAATTCTCATTACCGAATTATTTTTTAAAATAATTCGGAGTTTCATGTATTCGGAAATGCTAATCAAATTTTTCAGTTACTGCAATAGAATTATGTGGTAGTTGTTAGAACCGACTAAATTCGATTGGAAACAAATTCGGTTACTCCAACGAATCTGTTTTCTCTGTGTAGGAGTTATATTTGTTTTAACATGACTTCCGCCCAGGACATGCACATCTTAAAATAACTCACAACTAGTCTGTGTCAGTCTCCTAAAACTGTTGGGTTAAGTTGAATGAAATCGATGAGAGTGTTTAAAGATGAGTGAGAAGGTCTAAGTGTTTATGGCAAAATTGGACCGTAACTTATGTCTACTATTAGTTAAATATCACGATACTAAATATATAAAAAAATACTCTTATGCATTTTATAACATAAATAAAATACACTCGACGTTCGTACACGTTCATGCACAAATATTAAACAATATTGTAAAATAATGCATTTGATTTATGCCTTCTATTGCCGTTACATTTTATCATCAAGTAATCGACCTTACATACAAACACACATGTGATGTTCAAAATTGTCAAAGGAAATTCGACAATTAAGTTTGTGCCGGGAGGTGAGGATTTTACGTTATTGACGTAGAAACTGTAAATTTGCTAAACACTTGACAAATGTTTTAGTACATATTACTTTTTTAAAATTTTAATTGTATAACTGCTACTGGTTTCTTGGCTATCTTTTCGTTTAAACTCACAACAGAATAATGGGTCTCGAAGATATCAGGGCTTTCAGAAGGCGATTTAACATATATACAAACTTTCCGAAATCTACTTCGCTATCTATCTAAGGATTCAGTCGCAAAATTGCATTATATCAATTACAAACAGAATGGCAAACTTTTTACGAAGGTGAAGCGAATGAAGGTAGGTGTTTATGATGACGGACAAGGCCATAGGAGGTAAAAAAATCAATTACGATTATGTGCAATATTTAGTTAATTTTTGCTTATCGCAAATCAAAAAATTTATGTTGTGTAAAAAAATAAGTCAAGTGTGCTGCAAAATGGTAACAGTAGGGATGCCAATCGGTATTAATCATCCTAAATTCTGGGATTACGAATTTTTCGGGTTTGAAAATTGACATTATATTAAAAGATATATAACAAGTAAGAAAGTATAGTCGGGCGAGGCCGACCATATGATACCCTACACCAGTTATGAATATTAAATGTGATATATTTTTCATAATAAAGCATTTATCTTGAATATTACCTTGATTCCGAATTATTTAAGCTATTTATTGACAAAAAAAATAATTTTCTAAAAGAGGCTTTATATAGGGGGTAGGAGCAAATATGGACCGAATCCGATAAAATGGGCTGGATAGATTTGTATTTATATTATATTTGTCTGTGCTAAATTTCATTGCAATAACAGTATTAATAAATGAATTGTCACTTTCTGAAGGGGGCTTTGTCACTTTCTGAAGGGGGCTTTGTATGGGGGCTAGGGTCAAATGAAGTCCGATCATTTCGAAATTCGGCAAGGTCATCAAGGCTTGTATAAAACTTACTTGTGCGAACTTTCATCGAGATACATTTAAATTATACATAAATTTCAGCTCAAAAGCCCTTTTCGGGGGGTTCAGTTGTATGGGGGCTAGGTGAAATAATGGACCGATAACCATTTTCAATAGACATCGTCAAAACAAACGTGTATTCCAAATTTCATCAAATTATATTGAAAATTGCGAACTGTACTTTGAAGTGATTCTGAGTCATAATTCATAAATATTTGTTATACCCTACACCACTATAGTGGAGAGTGTATTATGGGATTGTGCTGATATTTGTAACGCATCGAAATACGGGTTCTACACCCAACATAAAGTATCCCAATCGGCTCTTAATAGTTCTCTGAATCAATTTATCGATGTCCGTCCGTCTATCCATCCATGTAGACCTCGTAATCAAACTACAAGTCACAGTTAGACTTAAGTACGAAACCTATAGAAAATGGCTGTAATCGGCCCATTATTTCAACTTACCGCACTTTTTGCGGAAATATATAAAAAAATAAGAAATCTCAATTTGTAAATTTAATGTATTTGTGCGTGAACTTTTTCAACAACTGCGCAAAAAAAGAGAATATTTTTTCTTAGTAATTTGCAGTGGTCTATTCGGATATGCTAGGGCCATGTTAATACTTTTAAAAATCTGAAAAAGTTATAGGCCTTATGTACATATCGCAACTTCAAAAAATTCAGGATTTCCCAAATGTGAAAATTCCAATTTATTCGGTATCAAAATTTGAAGATTGGCATCCCTACATTAAATCAATTAACTTTCAAGATAAACCCTATTCGACATTTTCCATAACAATTGTAGAGAGTGTAAATTAGTTCAGGGTTTTAACTATAAATCACCGACAATAAGTTTAAATGCTTATACCACCTTTGATATTTAATTCCACTACTGATTTTCTCATACTACTCCTTCGGTGCTCATCTACTACTTAATACTTCTGCACCTGTATGTAGTGTTAAGTCTGATATCACCTGTAATGATGATACGTATTAAAAAGCAACAACAAAAACTCAAAATAAAGAGAAAATAAATTTAACAGCAACAACAACTACGGAGGCGGCAAGAAAGTATTGAATGTCTAATATGAGTGCTGGCTGATATTGATGATGTCGCTATAGTTGTTGCTGTTGTTGTTGTTATTGACGATGATTGGAAAATTGTTGATGCCTAAGTGGCATAAATATCAAGTATAAACGAACAACCACTTCTGCCACAACTACACCAGAACCACTAATACAACTAAACAAATTTACTCTACTAACCCCCATCCAAAATCTATCTATATGTATGTATATCGGTGGATATACTGGGTACAACATACTATAAACCAAGATAAAAAAGCAGACAAGAGCAACCAGCAGGTGGATAAGTAGCTCACCTTTAATAGTTAATTTAAAAGCGTTCGTTTGTTTGTTTGTGTGTAAATCTTTTGTGTGGATGAGTGTTTATTTTTGTGGGTGTAATGAATGAGTGAATGAGCTTAAGTTGACATCATGTCATAATGTCACACCGTGAACGAGGTTGAAAAATCATCAGAGAACAAACTTGAAACACGGGACCAGATAATGCCACAACATACATGACATAGCGCCATCAAAAAAAAAATCGCTAATAAATGTATGTTTTCGCATAAAAATTAGTGAGCAAAAATAACTTGTCCACATTTTAGAGATTGTAATTTAAATTACAAGAAATTAAATACATATTATTGTCGTTTCGTATTACCCTTATAATTTAAGAAATTAGACGAATCTTAGAAAATAACATTAAAAGGGTGTATGTCAAAAAAGTGTATGTATGTATATGCATTTCATCATTTCCATCAAAATATTAGTCGTAGAACCTCCAAACAATATATATTAGGGAGTTTACTAGACTCTAAGGCAATCTAGAATGCCTGTTTATTAAAATTAAAGATAGGGTCCATTAATATTCCCTATTGTCAATAAATTTTTGTCTATAAATCGTTTATAATTATGTAATCATCAAAAGTTTGGTCCATAATTAGCCCAAATTCCCATTAAAGGTTTTTTCCGAAAATAAATCAAATGTCGATGAAAACATAGAACATTCTATTAAACTTCTATTTTTGGAAATTATATTTTAAAATTTAGCGCCAGCTGAATGTTTATTTTTATAAATATTAACAATTAATGAATGAATCCTTAAAGGAGGTTAATTAATATGGTCGGACTTGACCGACATTTAACGCTTTTATTCTAAAAATTCACTATAAACAAAAAAAATGTATAAAACCTCAAAAGTCATGAAAATGTTTATGCATATTTACGCAATTTAACGCATAAAACAAGAAATAAGGATTTTTTTCTCACGTTTTTGTAATGCATAAGTGTAAATAATTGTAGCACAGTTCATAATTGGACAAAAAAGTTACACCCATTTGAAAAAACCCCGTATGATCAAAATGTCCAACTTTAAATACGGCAGTTCTTGACCGATAAAGCTGAAAATCGATCGATTTTAAAAGTTGGCTCACTTGACATATTTATGTATATATATTGGAGCAAGCGACTTGGGTTTTCACCTGTAAAGGTTTCACTATCGGCGTTTAACTTGTTTAGCAAGTACTTTAAGAAGCTATAGGGCTGATGTGGTCCAGCGAAATTATTTTGACTTTCTGTTTTTTTGCTATATTTTTACTCATAACTTATTTTTTGAACAATACACACAATTCACCTCCATCTTTTGTTTGTTCATGTTTTTATTGTTTGCATGGAATTCATTCACAATTAACCTAAATTAAATTTTTCACAAAAAAACCTTATTGAGTATCAAATCATATTACGCTAATTCTTCAGGAATGGGATTTGGAAATTTTTATTAACAAGAGATTTTTACTTTTTTAGTCAACAGATAAATCTGTAAGAGATAATTGCATAAATCTGTATTTCGGACAAAAGTTTTATATAAATATTTAAAAAGACAACTTATATCATAGCTACTGAAGCCAGCTTTTTAAAACTAATAGAAAATGCTATGGATTATGTTAAATTTAAAATAGGAATTTAGACCAATTCTTTCAATAATAACTTATCCATCCCTGCTACAGATGTTTAGCCATATACTTTTAAACTTTTCCACTCCAACATGTTGTTAATGTTCGAATGAAAAATGTTTATATTGAAAAGCATTATTTTTAGCCCACAAACATTATCGATACAGATTAATACAAATAAGAAACAAAAGAATATTTACACGTTCGCTGTACTCGTTTAAATGCAATAAAATTTTATATGAACACACATATTTATGTATATTTATATAAATAAGACTTACCTCGAAAGTTGTGAAAACAATTTTTTCAATGGAACCGAAATAACGCTCCCACAGCACTTGTGTTTGTTGGCGTAAAGAGAAGATTCGTTCTTCAGTTATAGAACGAACTACTTCAGGAACCTGTAAAAAAATTAAATATTTATACACATTTATTATAAAGAATACGAAATGCATTATTAATGTTAAAAAATATATATAAAATAATAACGATTTTCATAAAGATTTCACATTTTCAAAATGTCGAATGCAACCCTCGAACACACTTAAAGTTATAAAAAGATCAAAATAAAACTAATTTTTGTTTTGGCAATGGGCCTTACTTCTAGCTAGAACTATAATTTGTGCCACCATCGATTTTTTGCAATTTTTAACTTATTCTTGTTCAACTTATTTATCAAAAATCGATTTTCAATACTATAATTATACCCAGCGTGCTTCGCTACCCTCGACGTAATGAAATAAAATAAATATTATTGTAAATTTTCAAACAGTCCAATATACATAATGATTAATTCTAGTTTCAATATTACAGGAAACTCAAAAAATATCAGTTGCAGAACGAAAATGTAACAGAAAGTCCCTTTTTTAGATTTTAGTTTAATAAGGATGGTGCATGTTAAATTTTCAACCAGAAGTTCCTCTTATACAGATTTTATTACACTCAGGAAGCTGCGTGCCCAATTTTATGTATTTAGGTTAAATATTATAGAAAATTAAAAAAGTTTTATTAAAAAAGCTCCAGAAAGTCTCTTTTTATATATTTTCGTTCAACGTGTTTCATTTTATGTTTATACATATGTATATTCATTTTATGTTTATACAATACCAAAAGACATCTTTTATTTAATTTTATGTTTCTAAGTTCAATATTATAGAAAGTTCAAAAAGTACCAGTTACAGAACGAAAAAGTACCAGAAAATACTCCATTTTAGATTTTCATTCACATTAGTCCCTGAATGCTTAGTTTGAAAACTCAAAAGTACCAGTTAAAGAACGAAAAAGTACCAAAGGGTTCTCTTTTATAGGTTCTTATTTACTCCTTATGTCTCTAGGTTCAATATTATAGAAAATTCAAAAAGTACCTATTGAAGAACGAAAATGTACAAAAAATTCCCCTTATATAGGTTTGCATTTACTCCGGGCTCTAGAAAATTCAAAAAGTACCTATTGAAGAAAAATTACAAAAAATTCCCCTTTTATAGGTTCGCATTTACTCCGGACTCTACATGCTTAATTTCATGTTTCTAGGTTTAATATTATAGAAAATTCAAAAAGTACCAGTTAAAGAACTAAAAAGTACCAAAAAGTCCCCATTCATGGGTTCTCATTTACTCCGGTCTCTACATGCTTAATTTCATGTTTGTATGTTCAATATTATAGAAAACTAAAAAGTTACTTTTGAATAACGAAAAAGTACCAAAAAGTCCACTTTTATATGTTCTCATTTACTCCGTGCTCTACATGATTAATTTCATGTTTCAAGGTTCAATATTATAGAAAATTCAAAAAGTACCTTTTGAAGAACGAAAAAGTTCCAAAATGTCCCATTTTATTGGTTCTCACTTACTTGGGGCTCAACTACTCTAATTAACTCAGGGGTTCACATGCTTAATATCATGTTTCTAGGATCATATTATAGAATCATATTGTAAAAAACACAAAAAGTACCAATTAAAAAACGAAAAAGTACCAAAAAATAGGTTCCAAGTAACACCCCATTTGTATATTTACTGTTACTAAATCTGTCAATTTCTTCAATTTTATTAAAATTGAGTTTGAATAAAATAAAATGTTCCGTTTTCCCCCTTTTGGTACTTTTTTCTTCCTATTGAAGTAATAAACATTTTATTATAAAAATTTGCAATATCGTAGTAGGAGCCCATCATTAAGTATTCATGCACATGTTAATACAAATCAATACATAGGAAACAATATACCAAAAATAGGTACAATTTCCACTCTTAAACATCCGAATATAGAGGGACTATATTCAATAGTCTCTATCTAAAATAATACAAGTTTTCAGGAGAGCAAAAAAACTGTTTATTTCGCTAGTTCGTGAAGATTTTTCAATTTTTTCTTTTACAATATATTTTTACGACCATATTCTAAACCATTATATAAAAAGAATTTTAATTTTTGCATTATTTACAAAATTATTCACAAATTTATATCAGATAGAGCTTATTTTTCTACGAAAATGTTCATTCAACCAACAGATAGAGAGTTTTTCATGGAAACATAAAATTTTTATTTGAATTAAAATCAATAAATATTATATTTTATACAATTTAATGGAGGAAAAGAAACCAAATTGTTGAAAAAGCAACAGATTATAATGTTTTGGTCCAAAATCAATGTTATATAGTTAAACACGACAATAAAATTGATTTAATTAGTATCATAATGAGCGATATCTCAAAAACTATTAGACCGATTTTAAATATTTTGACGAATTTGTGTTCAGCATGTCCAAATTATTAAGAAGACTTGTTTTGCAACAGAAAATTATCCAAAGGGATCGAGTTTGAAGCAATTTTTGGATAAGATAGAGAGTTTTGCATTCAGAATTTTTCTTTTTTGAAGATAGAAAAATTTGAAAAATGCTATAAAATTGCCAAAAAATATTTTTTTTCTTTGAAATTTATATCACTGATGCGCGATAGTTTGCTGAATATTTTGCCATCAAAATCTCATTTTCATAAAAATGAGAGATAGCGACTATTGAATATAGTCCCTCGATATCCAAAAAGTAATAAATTCGTAATTTTTTTTTTTTCGTTAGGTAATGAAGGAGTCAAAAATATTTTTTGTATGTTCATTGGTTTAAAAGATACATGGGGTGCAAAATAAGTACCAAAATACAGTTTTTACCCGTTTATTCCGTAAAGGGGCCGAATTTGAAAAAAGTACCAGTCACCTGTCCGTTTATTTTTTAAATGAACGACAATATGCTTTAAACTGTTTTTGTATCTTTTCTAGTTTAGGAGATATGAGGTTACCGAATTTACCCGTTTTTACCCTTTTTTAGCCCCTAAACATTCGAATTTCCAAAAATCACGCCTTACTGGATCTTTTTGGTGGGAGACCAATCTCCTGTCCAAATTCCAGCTCTTTAGCTTCAACCGTTTAGGCTGTACGATGATGAATCAGTCAGTCAGTTTATATTAAGCTTTTTCACACTCAGTCCTTATTTCAGTGCATGTTTGCACAACTGTGATGGTACATCCTGTACGTGTCGCAGCTGTTTTTGCTGCAATAATACATAAGCTGACGTCCTATACGAATTCAAGGTCAGTTTCCTATATATATGTATATGTATGTATGTATGTATGTATGTATGTATGTATGTATGTATGTATGTATGTATGTATGTATGTATGTATGTATGTATGTATGTATGTATGTATGTATGTATGTATGTATGTATGTATGTATGTATGTATGTATGTATGTATGTATGTACGAAACTCTCTATTTAATAATTTTATTAAAGCATTTAAATAATTCTCATAATTGTATTTATATATTTGCTTTACCAAATGGGCAATCATAATTAAAGGATAATAAAATGTATATCGCTGATTTGTTTTAATAGGGTTATATTGTGGAAATTACTAGCGGAATGACTACCTTATATGCACCCTTCACGAAGGTCAAAAAGACTCAAAATATTTTGGGAAACATCAGAAAACAAAGAGAGATACATTTTGAAAAGATCTCAGTATGAGGGGTTGCAGGTTCGCCAGAGACTCTAATCTGTTTCACTACCACGGACTTATATAAAGTATTTTATCTGTTTAATTTTGTGACTTCTGAACCCGCCAATAAGGTCCAAGTTCAGAACGACAACACTCTCTAGTCTTGTGAAATATTATTAAAAACGGACGTTTACAAAATTTATTTTCTTTCTTCGAAATTCCCTCAATGTGGCCACTTTTAATTTAAACAGTTATTTTTAATAATTTAATAAAAATATCGTAATTGCAAATATTTGTAGTTGCAATAGTGTCATGTTAATTTGAAAGAATATATAGCATTTTTAAATGAGATTAAGCAACAGGTTGTCGCTCTAGGATTTCACTGTGTATTTCATATATATGTATATTCATACATACATATGTATATAAATATTCTTACGTATTACAGGTATCCACAGTAGACTTGCCCTTAGTTCCAATGTATATAAAATGTATTAGAGACTGGTTTAACTTACTAAAAAACTAAATTATATCCTCCAAAGGCATTTTTTAAAATCTGGTCTAATGCACATACATATTTATTAAACATACATGTTTGTATACAAATGTACATACATATAATGTATGTACATAGTACTATAATATATTAAGTTTTAAAGGTTACAGATATAGCGATATATTTGTTTAATATATTTAAACACAAATACATTGTATACAAAAACAAAATTACACTACATACATATTTACATTTCTACAGTTTTTAATCCAATTTTGGTTTGTAAATACGGCAGTTTTGAGTCATAATACCGAACAAATTTATTTCGCAATATTCTTAAAATGGAGAAAAAACATTTGTAGTAATTATTACACAAATTGTAGCTAAAAAGTAATAGTAAAAACTATATCATATTATCTCCTTATTTTTACCAGTAGCAAAACATTTAAATAACCATACTGAAATGCATTTCATTACTGTCACATCAGCATGACTTCAGAGAAGTGAATAGCATAACTACAGAACTCAATCAGGAAAGATTGCATTCCATGTAATACTTGGGAACTTGTTACTACATTCGGAATTAGATCTAAAAAAGTTTTTCTTGAATTAAAATTCGATAGGGTTCAATATTCAAGAAATACTTGAAGAATTACACCACTTAAATTTGAAAAAAGTCGAGGAATTTAAAAGCGCGATTGTATTACAATGAAATGGCGCTACCTGAATGGAATTTTTGGACGTAAAATAATCCACGACATCTTCGTTGGTGAAAAGGATGTTAAATTCATTAAATGTACCATATAAAAAACTAATTTTATATTAATTTTCATTTGGAACCACGCAGGAGGGCATTTGCATTTTTGGAATACAATTTTTGGAGAAAAAAAGCACCAAAGGGGTCGAAATTTTATTATATTCAAACTCATGAGCCCATTTCGATAAAATTTTAAATAATTTTTTGGAACTGGGATACCAAACCAAAACATTTTCGTTATAAAACTAATAAAAGTGCAACATGTATAGAGCTCAATATAGTAAAACATATTGGTTTCTTTATACATTTTAAATGTGATCATTCAATTTTAATTTTTAAATTAAATTCTGTGTTTGTTAGTACTTTACCTGTAGTAACAGTCTTTCATCGGCCCAGACAGCCGCTTGTTTCCAATCGATTTTCGATTCAAAAGGTAATACCCAATCGTTGGATAACAATACAGGAATGCAACCAGCTTGTATAGCTTCGAGGAATCTATAAGATAAGATAAACAAAACGTTTTTAATAATTTTCACAAAATTAATAGCGCTTTTATTTATTAATTTGTTATGGTGTACAATTTTGATTTAAACATATACTAAACATACCTGAATGAGCCTAAACGTCTCCCCCGAGGTACTAAACAGAATGTAGAGTTAAGCAGTAAGGATTCATAGTCATATCTAGAAGGACAAGAAATATATTGAAATATTATTTATATGTATATAAAATAAGTTTATTTAAAAATAGTTTAAGCTAAAAAGATATTTATTTTTTTCTTACTTTTAAAGAATCTTGAAATTTAAAAAAATCTACAAGAATTACTTTAATATTCATAAACTCGTTGGATATAAATCACTCCACTCAAACTAAAGGAGGATTATTAATTACTATATAACAAATTTCGGATCGGTAGAATTTTACGCAAGTCCATATTGTGTTAAATACGAGATATTTTATTGTCAATTTTCTAATACTATTCTTATTAATTATTTGATTGCATATTTAATAATAAACCTATTTATTAAAAATACATTGGAATAAACTAATTTTTAACACGTACTACATTTTTTAAAACTATTTTGCATTTTTATTATTTGTATTACAATCTGACAATATTTAAATCGTATTCGTGTTATTTTTTTTGTTTGTAAACATCGATTGATTTCTTTTGTCATAAATTCAATATTAACTTCATATTAAAACCGTCTTATATTAAAGAAAATAGGAAGAAGAAATTGAAAACATCACAGAAAATCATAAAATTGATTTTTTTCCGCAAATGTTTTTGACGCTTTGGTAATACAAAATTCAAACTTTATCTTTGTGTAATTGTGTCACACAAAAACCCATAAACGCAGCAGCACTTCTATGGATATTTCTTAATCTACAGGAATAAGTTCAGTCACATATTCACACTCAAATACTCATACAAAAACATCTTTCTCTTTATCATAAAATGTATAAAGATAATGATGACAATGACAAAGAAGATACAACCACAACTACAAAAAATCGCAACTACATGTAAGATAGAATTAGTTTTATATTAAAAATGTTAAACTAAAATAAAAACACAAAAATAAAATCAAAAACAAAAACAAACAATACCACAAGAACAGATAAGATGAAAACATGAGACAAATAAAGAGATTTGACATAAAAATACTTTGAAGACAAACGAAACATCCTATGAACTAATATCCTTGTGCTTGAAACAGTGTTGACTAAAAAAGAAACACTTCAATTTGATAATATACCATCGACAATAACTGTCATATTCAGACATTGTGCTTCAGATAGCAACAAATAACATCATTGTATTAAAATCCAATATTTTTCCCATTTAATTCAGTAATTCACCTAATCAGCCCAACGAAACTGTACTTTCTAATTAATTTTGTATCTGACTAAACAGCACTCAAGTTTTAGCCAATACTGTAGCCATAAATGTAGTTTCATATTGACGCGAAATGGCTTACAATGAGCAGCAGTTAGATATCAAACCATTTATGATGTTATTAAACTAAATGGTTGTTCTGTTTTTCCTAATGTTCTTTCTCTTGCACAAGAAAAACTTGTAGCAATTTTCAAATCATACCAATTACTTATTGTGCTACAATTCGTATATAATTTATATAACATTGATATTGTTGGTTCATTCAGTAATGTTGTTTAAATATGATATACTGATAATATGTAAACGTAGACGTGGAACCTTGCCCTATTTATTCACCTTTGCTTAAGCAATAAAACTATTATTCTCGGAATTTTAATTTGATACCGTATTTCTTGTTTTTATATAAAAAGACATTTTTTAGACATTGTACTCTCAAATTTCGAAAGAGAAAGTTCAGATTCGATTTCCAGAAAAAAATCTATGGACAGACAAACATAAGTATTTTTTCAGCTAATTCGCATCGAAACATACTCTCATGGAATCACTGGCGAACTGAATGATTGAAAGCGGCTTAATTTTTTAACGTGGTATAATCGATACTGTATTGTTTTCGAAAGGTAGGCTAATATACTTGATGAAACAACTAAAAAACTATTACTATGGAGGAAGATGTCAAACAAACCAAACAACCAAAAGACAACTTTCACAGAGACAAAACATGAAGTCCTGCCGTGTTGATAGACGGAGGTCTTTTTGAACCACTGGGTGAGCTTCCTTTTGTATCCTACACGCAGGTGACAATTTTTGTACATGGCTGTGTCGGTCCATGTACAAGCACTTTGCTCAAGTAATTGAGCTATACAATCTCTGACCATTGCTGCCCCGTTGCTTAACTTCCGAGATGCAAGAACTTCACATCCGTTTACAACCATCCAGATGAGATGGCCTCAGTTGAGTTGGAAATAGCACCTAGAGACCTTATTCGGCAGACCGAAAAACGAATCCATTAAATAGGCCGAGGACTTTGTTCTTACTCACAGAGGACACACTGTAGTAAATCTGGTATGAACAGAGTTTTCCCTGAACATACTTGGACAAGGAAGAAAAATTCAATGGTATCACTTGTATAAGATACTTTTCATCCATCTTCAACCCAGCACACTTCTCATTCATCCGACACACTCATAGAAAACAACATCCGACACACTCACTCTAGGTATAAGGGCGGGTGTGATCCGTATACCCCTACATTCATCCTGTATCATATACACTTAAGGCCTACTCATTTCCAACGCCTAGTCCCACAGTCACTCCTCTGTGGGGTATCTGTTGACATCGGCAACAGCACCAAACTTATCCCGAGTTATAGATTTCAACGCGTATCATTTCTTTAACCACTGACCACCGCTGCAGATTAAACCCAAATTCTCGGGAAGCCACTACGTAGATCGCGAAAGAACCTTAACGAACTGACCAGCCAGGACAAAGTCCTGCGGGCAACTGGCGAACCGTAGTACCAGATTATGTGGTTCTCTGGTTCGACCCCATATCATATTATTTCAAGGAAAGACCGAGGATACATTTGATCATCACTAGTTTATAGTCCCGGCAGACTAAAGGTACAGGTACCACCTCTATACCCCGGTATTGCAAGATTGGGTCTTCATCAAGGAAATAAACCACGGGAGGGTTTCACAGAGACAATTGAAAAGTTAACAAACTTTTTGGCAAAACGGAAACTAAAGTCAGCCAACTTTACAAGCCCCTCCAGCTCACAAAATTAAACGCTGAGGATTTCAAAGAATATGCCTGTCGCGTGAATCTTCAGTGTGAACTATATAAGATAAATCAGTTCAACGTTGACCACATTTACTATAATACCTCAATGATGTTACGGATACAGCATATTTGGACTATATTGTCTATGAAACGCAGAAGTTTATGAATTAAAAAACAACCACACGCCATACAAGCTACAGTCAAACTGCCGAACGAAAATAGTTTTTTATACGAATGCTATCAATAATAAACTCAGTCTCATTAAATGATCACAACGTTCTGTTGCAAGTCGACACAACATCCGACATAAATATCAATATCACACAAACGATCAACCTCAAACTCAATTTCACTTTTAGCTGAATTTACATCAGCCGTTTTTATTAGAAACTCAACTAAAACTTCCCGACACAAAATTTTGTTTCGAAAATTGGCGCAGAAATTGTGACATTAAACACGAGAACAATCTGATTTCACCCAAGCTTAAACGGCCAAGCAAATGATCTTGACTCACAGACAACATGTAATGAGAAGTTACCCCTCAACGTTCTTATGAAAGTATTCAATATTACCAATTCATTTAGTTGTTGTTGTTGCCCTAGGCGTCGTAGAAACCTTGTTGGCTACCTATAATTATGCTGCTCCAGTGTGGTCTCCATCGCTGAGTGATACCCAGTGGAGAAATATTCAAAGCTCCCAAAATGCTACCTCAGAACACCATCTACATGAGGAAACGAAGGTCCTCCCAGTCAAGGAACATAATGTCATGCTGACTAAAAAGTTCCTCCTGGGATGTCACCGGAGGAGTCATCCCAACTTTAACATCACACAGTTGGATGCTCCCCCGAGGCATGTCAGAAAGGACCTTCGTGTATACGAAGAGAGCATACGAAGTTATGTTCAGGATCCCTTAGATCGGACTTCGTATACAGCAGCTTTGAACGGCATTCATAGAGACGCCATCAATACCGCGGTTTCAGGTTACCGCATGAATGTCGTTCTTGGAGGTCGCCCACCGCCCATAGCAGAAATAGAGAAGAACCTGCCGCGGAAAACAAGAGTTGCTCTGGCACAACTGAGATCGGGATGGAGCAACAGGCTCAACGCCTACTGGTCCCGCATAGACCGTGTCGTCCCCAATATATGCCCATCTTGTGGACAGGGTCCCCATGATACCCACCACATATTCAACTGTCCAGCCCACCCTACTTCACTTAGCCCAATGGATTTATGGACTAACCCTATTGAAGTAACCCAATTTCTTGGCTTGGACCTAAATACAGAACCCCCGGATTAAAATTGTATAGTTTAAGCTGTTACAACAACAACAACAACCAATTCATTTGCGGAAAACCCCTTTTCGACACCTCTAACTAAACGCATAGGAGTTCAACCATGGATAGATAGAATTCGTTTTATTCTTTATTCTCTTGTACGTAGTAATAATAATTACGTTAGTGAAAACTTAGCTTTTCTCAAATATGCAATACCTTTTGCAAAGTGAATAAATATTGTGAATTATTATTAAACATAATACTTTCCATTATAAATTAGTGGTTAACTCCTTTCCTGTAATGCTTATAACATTACATTTAAACACATATAATGTGTTAAAATGCAAATTTGTGGCTAAGTGTAATGACAACTTATTTTGTTACGAAAGTTTTTGCTGGTTATATGCAATGTTTATGTTTGTAGATTTGTTTTCATAATTATATGAGAATATCAGTTATTTTAAAGTTTTATATCCAAGGACTATTCAAATAAAGAGAAACATACAAATATAAAAAATTTCTTCTTTGAAATACATAAAAACAAAAAGAAAATTGCACAGCCTTTTGATTTTTCTTATTCAAAGAAATCACATTTTATACATTTTTTGTATTTAATAAGAGGAAGAGAGAGGGCAACAAATATCAAGGTAAAATTAATTCCATCAAATAAATTGTTTGTCCATGTCTTTGCTTTTGTACAGTGTTAAATCTAACGTAAATAATTATATGTAACTGAAATCTTATAAAATGTAATATATATTTTTCATATTTTAGGGGTACGAAATTGTATTAAGGATAAAACCATTCCAGAACTGGATGCCTACATTTCTATGATAGCTGCATAAATACATTTGTATTGCAAAAAAAAAATCTTATCGTAATTTAGAAATATAAATAAATATAATATGGTTAGGTTAGGTTGATAGGAGGATGTATACTACATCAAATCCGAAGAAAAACACCTAGGCCACTATCGGGCCTGTTGTCCGCTCCAATTCAAGAAAAAAAAAATTGTTCACTGAATGTATTATTTTTCCATGTTCAGAAACTCAGTTTCCTGGACGTAATTCCTAAGAATCTTCCAATCGGTGTTGGTTAAGAATGTTATTTCCGGAATAACATCACTTCCAACATACTTGGATCTAACTTCGACGAATGCCTGACAATGGCAAAGAAAGTGCTCCAGAGTTTCACTGTCCTCTCCACATGCTCTACATTCGTCTGAATCCGCACGTCCAATTTTGTATAGATGTGCTCGTAATTCTGTGTTTTCACTCAGAATACGTACCATCATACTAACCTCAGACTTGCTCATTTTGAGAAGATTTCTCGTCTTGCTCTCATCAGGGTCACCCCATAGAATCTTTGTGGTTCTACCCACCGTTTCATTATTCCAAGAGGCCTTATGGGATTCTCTCATCCATATTTTTATATAATATACATATGTAAATATTTTTGATTTTTTTCGAATTGTTTTTGATGGGGCTCACATTAACCATTAAAATTAAAGCTGAACCTTATGACATTTAAATTTATTCTCTAACCAGTCAGAATATCATTTCGCATTATAACTTGTCAAAACAATAGTACTTTTCCAACATGTATAAACGTTAATAATTGTAAGTATAATATTTTGGGATTTCCAAACAATTTTGCTGTAAAATGTTTAAAAGATTTAAAAATATTGTGATATTTTAAACGATTCGAATATTCTAATTTAGTGACACTTTAACGAATCTTAATTACTTTGTGCTAATAATCATTAAAATTATTCCCTCAGGTTGAAAACTTTTAACAACTTTTTAATGAATTCATAAAAAGTCACAATTACACTTAAATACATATGAAAGGAAAATGAATGAAAATGTAAAAGAACGTAAAACAAAACTATAGTTAGTTACCTGTCATATTCTCGATTATCCTCATCACATCGAGCATCCTGTAACTCTCGCCAACTTTTACCATGACGACATGTTGTGACCAAAATAATATCACGACCATTATGCAAATGGAATAGAGAATTACGTGTCTCAGAGCCAATGCCATGCACGTACCTGAAATTTAAAGAAAAAAACCAATTAAATTTAAACTAAAATAAAATTATGATGTGTATTTAAACTATGTATAGAAATTAAGTCACCTCAATATTATACTTCTTTTGATTACATTATTAAAGTTGTTGTAAAAAATATTAATTGTTAATTGTGGCATAAACCGTAATAATAAAAAAGAGAACAAAACTGTTTATTTGGCATGTGTAAGCAGAAAAAAATGTCTACGAATTGAAATTAAGTCACCTTACATTTTTACTTCATATAATTACCTAATTATGCAAGTAATTGTGATGCATATTTATTGTGTTATTACGTTTAGACATTTAGTTTATGTAGAAATGAGAAGTATTTAAATCTGGAGTGGCTTCCTGACACACAGGGGACACACTACGTTAGGTTAGGTACTATAAGACTAAGCACTTCGATAACACATAGTCAAGAAAGTTGCACATCACCATTAAACCAATCACACAGACCTTTCATCTGACATATTACTGAAAACATTCATTGTACAAATTAATAAGGACGTGCTAGTGGACTGCGGCTCCACACACCTCCGACTCACTCTGCTGTATTCATTTATTTATTGTCCAGGCTTGGGGGTATTGATAACATTTTCATTTAGAATTACATTTTAAGTAATTGTGAATTAAGTTTTTCCAATTACATTTACTTGTAATTGAAAATGTTCCAATTACTTTTAATTGTGATTTTTTTCCATATACATGTCTGTTCTTTAAATCGATTCGTTTTCAAAACCGAGAAGCTTTTAAAACCGAATCTGGTGTTCTACAAACAGAATTTTTATACGAACGTAAAATTCAGAAAAATAAACATATTTAAATGAAAAAAATGTCTATAGAATTACAAAAATCCATAAAGAGTAGGGGAAAAATTAAACGGTACTCAGAGGGCCAATTGTATAGGTTTAAGATGAAATTGTGGACACTAGTTAGTATTCTTTCGGTAACAGTAATATTTTAATAATAAATATTTGTGTAATTTAATTAAATTTTCCAGAAATTACACAGGCCGACAATATTTGAAAAAAGTCAAAACCCTGAGACTATGTGAGACGTTTCTATCGGATTGAGTGTCCTGAAATTTGAAACTTTGGCGCTTTTTGAGACGTTATAACTTTTTTTATAAAATGTTGTATGCCATCTGAAAGTCCATTCTATCAGCATTAAAATAATGGCTTCAGAAGATATGTCAGATATCTTCTTTATACTTTGAGATATCTTCACCTAAAGCTTGAAAACTCACTTTGTAAATATTATTTATAACAAACAAATATATTGGATCCACACCAATCGACTGAAAATCAAATTGGAACGTACAATTTTTTTTGGTAAAATAAAGGCGAAATGTACGAAAAAATAGAGTTTTTATCAATTTATTGTTATATCAAGATTTAGGTGAAGATATCACGAAGAAGAATATATTTCATATAATAAGCATTTATTATTTTATAAATAAAGTTGTTTTGGCGATGTTATAACGTCTCATAATTCAGGACGCGATATCTCAACTCGCAGATGTGATGGAGAAATTTTGTGGCCAGATTCGGTTTTAGCGTGGATCAATCCGTCAGAAAATATACGTTGGTCTCTGGGTTAAAAATTTGTCGGCTTGTGTTATTATACAGATTTAAAATTTAAAAAATCACAACTTTTGAAATATTCCGAAATTCTACTAAGCGAAACCCTGCTTTTTTTAATTAATATTTAACAAATTTTTATTAACTACTTTATGAAATTTACATAGAAATCATAAACATTCGTTTACGTAAGTTTAAAATCGAACAAAAATGTTATATGTTAAAATTTAAGTAAAAGTAGCCACATTAAATGAAATTTAACACAAATTATTATAAAAATGATTAAATAACCATTTACTTAATTTCAAAAAATTACTACATACAATACGTTTTAAGCCACTTTTAATAAATACATATAAATATATTAATACAACCATTAAACTATATGAATATGATCAAATAAAATAAACATATTTGTAATATATAATAATAAGTATTAATACATACATATTATGTGTATTTTCAAAGATAATTAAAACGGAAGGAAGTAAATTAAAAAGCAAAATACCGAATTAAATACTCGTACCAACACATGCCCACTGCCACCATCATCATCATCTATCGATGGAACTAATTAACAAATTTGCAAAATACCAAAAACAAAAACATAATACATACTCCTCGTCATACTACTTGCAACACCATAACAATATTGCAAGTAAAACTATCGAATGATGGAGGAGGAGAGGGTATTGTGTGCGATTGAGTGAGTAAGTTTGTATTTTATTAGCTGCTACTACACATTTATGTTGCATGCAACCAACAAGAAAATGGTTATTAATAATAAGTAAATATGAATAATAGCAAATTTACTACAGTCGACTGTAACGAATTAAATTCATCCTTTACGAAAGCGTATTTACTCTAAATGAATTTAAATAAGAGTCATAAACGCTTCCAAGTAGTGTTTTAGGCCATTAATTGAGTGTATAGTACCATTGGCTGAAACGCTAGAGAAGAATAAACTACCATGAGGATAAGGACCCACCATATAACCCTGTTGAAATTACAACCAACCAAATATATATAGGACCACCAATTTAACATTGTTTCAATATCTTATAATTGTATGTAAACATATGCCATACAATATCATAGTATAGCAAACAAAATATTAATATTACCAACCGAAGTGTACAACAATTATAAAATATATAATTACATATTAAGCTTCACATTAATTGAAAAGAATTAATTCGTTAGATTAGCTTGATAGGAGGATGTATACTATATCAAATCGGTAGAAATACACTTAGGCCACTATGCGCTTGTGCGCTTCTTTTCATGGAAAATGTTTGTTGGGAACTTAGTTTTATGGACGTAATTCCTAAGAATTTTTCAATCAGTGTTCGTGAAGAAATACAGTTTGCCCCCTATCGGATGTTGAAAGCTCCTTTTCATGGATATGTTTGTTGGAAAAAACCTTATATAGTATTCACTGAATATATTATCATCCGATGTTCAGAAACTCAGTTTCCTGGACCTAATTCCTAAGAAATTTGCAATCAGTGTTCATGGGGGATGTTATATCAGGAATAATATCACACTTAGGATATGGCAAAGAAAGTACACCAAATGCTCTCCATTTGTCCGAATCCGTGTGGATTCCAATTTTGTATAGCTGTGCCCGTAATCCTATGTATCCACTCAGAATGCGCACCATCATACTAACTTCACTATTGCTCATGTCGAGGAGGCTTCTCGTCCTGCTCTCGTTAGGATCACCCTATAGGATCTTTATGGGCCTTGTGGGATTCTCTCACCCGTTGCGTCGAATAGTACTACGTTCGCGAGTTTAACTACCTCGAGCTCCCTTCCTTTTAAAACTAGTACATTTGCTCTTTCGTGACCGACTACTCCCGATTGGCCCAGTACCCATATAATGTAAACCTTATCTCTGGGAGAGTGTTCGGTTAAAGCTTTCTTACAATCCAATACGGTAATAGATTTAATTTTATCACCTGATATCGCCATAATTGGCTGTCGTTAAATATGTTAACCCCTGTTGCAGCCATATTTATTTTAATAAACTGTAGTATATTTTAGTTTCCAGGCCCGTTTTATCCCCCAATTTAGAGCCATCCGTGTAGCAATAGATTCCTTTGGGTATTTACTCTAATGTTCTGCTTGACCATGACATTCTATCTGGAAACAGTATTTCAAAGTTCTCAACATTTTCCTTTTTCTGGCATGCGATTGCGCACATCCGATGATAGCCTTGCAATGTGTTCAGTATACAATGATGACGTGTCCTATAACAGCTTTTGGTCTGTTCGCCTAAAGTTATAAGGCGTTCGGCTGTAAGAACTGCCTCATATATTATATATGTTTTAAACCTAGCAAAGTTTCCAGAGTCTTGATTGACATAGTGCTTATGGCACCACTTATACTACAGCAGCATGAACGCAGAACTCACTGTAGTAGTTTAGTATTACACTTCTTGTTCAGAGGAGTCCACCGGATTAATAAAGCATAAGTTAGAATTGGTCTAATTACCCGTTTATAAAGCCATAATATGGCAAAGGGCACACTACATGCCTATGATTCTCTTACATAGCGCCCAACACCGATGTACCTTGTTGATCCTATCCTCTTTGTGGATAGAAGATTAATTCTTTAAAAATATAAATGTAATTTGGTACAAATCATAGTAGTTTATTTATCATTTAAATTTCTCGAATAGGAAAATGTTTCTCACAAAATTTATGAATTTTTGTGACTGCCATGGTTAATATTGAAAAATATTAACCACAGTGTTTAATCATAATCTAAATTTTCAATTAAAGCTGCTTTCACTCAAACATACGTTTTCAAGAATTGTTTAAAATGCAGATATAAAGGACAAATCAAATATGATAATGAACAAATTAATTTGATTGAATCATTCATATAATCCAAAGGATTTAAACTTTTTTATGCTGCAAAATCTGTCTGTTGCATACATTACGAACAATTATATTTTGATGTAGAAACAGCAGCTAAACTTGTTGTTAGAAATGAAACAAAAAAAAAAAAAATAAAAAAAATGCTAATAATTTTACATCTATAATTGACAACAATTCCTGGGAATCATTGTGTTTTACAATTGTCAGGAGAAGATTTTTAAGTTTTAATTTAAAAAAATATTGCAAAATATGTTAAAAAATATCGATATCAAATAAATTAAAAAAATACAGAATTTTAATTAAGCACTCTTTCCTTATTCCCACAGAAGTTTTAATTGTATATGAATTTAAAATTTCTTTCTTTTTAACGTCTGCCAAAAAAACATGTGACGCGTGAACTACTCACGCCTTTTGTTTTGTTTCGTATTTGCTTCTGGTGTTAATGTGTAGTTAGTTCCAAAAGTTTTATACCACAACACATGCTGCACATAATTCATATACTACAATAGTACATA